AAAGTCGGACGTTTACAGCTTGGGAATGGTTTTGTGGGAAATCTCAAGCGGAACAGTGCCATTCAAAGGTTTAGATCATTGTGGTATTGTAATGGCTGTATTACATGGTCAAAGAGAGAAACCGACTTTAGACACTCCGTGTGGGTATATAGAGATATACCAGCAATGTTGGATCGAGAACCCAGATCGACGCCCAAGCGCCAAACAGATACATGATCAATTTAATAAGGACACAATAATCACTGGAACCGTGTTCAGAGGGGAGGAGGAAGAATGCTGCAGTCGGCACCCTCATTATTTGTGAACAACCAAATTTTATAATCCTAATTAAAATATACGTGTGTACCAACTTTTTTGAACCTGAATTTAAATATATAAGTCTTTATCTTAGCATTACGTATTTTATTAATTAGGGTCTCTGTAATCTTCGATGATCCTGTGACCGAAAATGTTGATGCCGTCGCGCTACACGTTTATAAATGTAGGATCGCATTATGCGTTTGTGGTTTCACCACTTTTACTTTTAACACCATATTTGTCATTAAGTATCGATCTTAATATTTACTCCCGGCTTAGTCGATAAGAGGCATGATATACTCGACTGAGTTTATTTCTTATGCAAATCATTGTGTTTATCTTGTGTCGTTTCTCTATCTTCAGAGCAATACATTGCTAATATTGAATTATGATAATGTGTTAAATAAAAATAAAATGGACAAATTGTACAACAATTTCTTTGTTTTGTTAGTATAAAATTTTTGTACACAGGAGCTTGAATGTTCTAATCGATAACTATTTCATGAGATTGTTCAAACCCGTATTAATTTGGAAATATAACGGTTTATATTAAACATATTACATAATGCTTTATTAAATTATTGTATGTTGATCTTGGTGCGTGAATAAGAAAATCCTGTTCTTCTCAGGTCCCACTTCTAATTCTCTATACATTGAGCAGTTTTTTTTTTCTATTTTCGGTCGCATGAAATGCATCCTTGCATCATCTTTGCCCCATTCGTAACAATGGTCTACCGCATTGGTACAGATATGTACGTGGCGCTGTGGCGTGAAATTTCCAAATTTTATTTTTACGTATTTTAATCACCTGACGGAATCGTGATCGTCACGTAAAATTTACGAATTTGCGCGAAATTTTCAATACTGTACATCTAGTAACTAATATTATTTTAATAAAATAGAGGGTAAAATTATATGTATATAAGTATTTAATATTTATTAAGAAATTATTAAAGTTTAATAAATTTTTAAAGAAATTTTATTAGTAAAAAATTAATTTAATCAAAAAAATTTAATTAATAGTTTTATATTAAAAATTTATTAGGATATACGTATATAATTTTAACAAAAATAATTGATAATTTTAATTTATATTATATAAAAAATTTATAAATAATAATATTTAAAATAAATTATTGTTTTTTTAATTGGATTAGTAAGATAAAAATTTCTTTTCCTTTTATTAAAAGAATAAGAAGATTCTTCATTATTTTAATTTATATTTTTTGAAAAATCAATAGAAGGTTTTTTAAATTTAAACAAGATTGAATTTTTATTTGTTGATAAAATAAAATTATCAAGGTTATTGTAAATTCATTATTAAGAATATTTTTTATTTGAATTAATATTATCAAATATTTTATCATTATTTATTTAATCATCATCAATAATATTCTCAATATTTGTATTAATATTTTCATTAATATTTTTATAATTATTTTTTTTTGAACTTAAATATGAATTAAAAAATTTAACAATTCTTCAATTGATAATTTGTAATATTAAAAACAAAAATTACAATTGAATCTAATAAGTTAATAAAACATATATAATAATATATATGTTTTTTACATATTAAAACCTTTATATTCAAATTTATATTATTATAAGATTTTAAATTATAAATTTTTTCTTTATTTGAAATTTGAATAGTATGATATGCTAATGGAAGAATTTCTTTTAGGTTTTTATTTTTATTTTTTTCAATTTAAATTTATTTTGTTTTTAATAAAGAATCTTAAAAAAATTTAAAAGAAAAATACTAATTGAAATAGTTAAAAAATTGAGATCTAAAAACTGAAATAAGACTATAAAAATTTTTTACAAGATATTTATCAATTAAATTAAGATATTTAAAAAATATTTTTATTATTGAATGTTATTGTTTATTTTATTTAAAATTACCAAATAAAAAAATTAATATTATTTTATTATAATTTTTTTGATGCTTCTTTTTATAAATTTCAATAATCAAAATATTATTTTATAATAATATTCAAATTAGTTATGTTGAAATAAATTTATATAAATATCTAATATTAAATATATAATATTCTTCAAAAGATTTAAAATTAAACAAAAAACTTTTATTTTTAAAATTTTTAAAGATTTCAAGATTTTAGTTCTAATATTAATCCATCCAACATGAATAATATAAACCAACAAATTTATTGCCATAATTTTTATTTTTTAATCAAATTATGTTTTTTATTAAAACATTTTTATATAATTTGTTAAAAAAAAGAATAAAATTTAATAATATATGTTTCATAAGTATTTAATGAAATATATAAAAATCCAAGTTTAAGTATAAAAAAAATTTTATTTTTATTTTAAATATTATTAAGTATATAAAGGTTTCTGAACAATTAATTTTTTTATATAGTATTTAATTGTTCAGAAAAATCCAATGGAACAAGTATAATAATATTTTTTAAATATTCTTTGATTTCTGAAAATTCTATTGAATTTGTAATTATTTATAAACAATTGTTTGTATTTTTAAATTAGATGATGTAAAATCTATAAGTTTTATAGTTTTAAAATTTTTTCATGTGTTAATTTTCAAGAATACCATTATACATATGGATAGATAAAATTCTATTAAGTTTTCAACAGATAATGTTAAAATATTAGAAATATTATTCTATTTCAATTTAAAGAATTAAAACTAATTAAATTATTTTTTATTTCATTATATAATACTTTTTAAACTTGATTAGTTTCTATTAAACCAATTTCATAAAGTGAAAAATTATTTAATAAAATATAAATAGAATATTTGAAATACAGTAAATTCTTTAAAACAAAAAAAAAATGTTTATTATTTTTTGTTACAAACTATTATAATTTTAATTTTCTTGTAAGAAATACAATTAAATTAAAAACATAATAATAATTTTATAATCAAACATTTAATGCAATAATATAACTTGGTAACTAAATTTCGTTAGCGTTAATTTTTTCATAAATAAACGGTCAATCTAACACCTCGAGAATTCATTCGCGAACGCATATTCATTCGCAGTCAACCTTTTTTCTTTAATGCTAGAAATGTCCTTAATATTTTGTGATGGCTTAACGAATGCTTTACTAAATTATTGTCAGTAATAACATAATTAACTACTTTATTTTTTACTACAGTATTTGACACGCATTCTTTTTAACATGAGATATACAATAATTTAAGAACGGACATTATATGTTATGTTTATGTAATTCAAAAAATTTGATAATAAGAAGTTAACAGATGGTTATTAAGGAAGGAATTGCTTTAAGGTAAGTAAAAATGTAAGGTAGGATCATGTATTGACTTGGTTAGAGATAGGAGTTTATTTATCTCAAGATGTATTCATACGCGTCGTGATTCTTTTTTCGAGAAAAGAAAGTCGATCTTTGTTGACTTTTGAAGCACTACAGTATTTACTGTATATACAGTATATGTGTTTTGTACATGCATTTTTAATTAAAAAAAAAATATTTACTATATATACAGTATATCAATTGGTCAAAATAAGATAACTAAAGATCTTTTATTTTTTAAAAAAATAAGTATGGAAAACACTTAGAAAGAAATGCTCGTGGATTCCATTGATCGTGGGATCACTTTCTAGTGGTTCACGGTGTTTAAGCGCATTGGATTAAAACTCTTACACAGCGTCAAAATCTAAGCATTTTGATCGAAGAACTCTCTTAACACAATGTCGAAATAAAATCTAGATATTAAATGATAATATAATAATAATTCAATGAAGGAGAACTAAAAACAAAACCAGAGAAATCTTTGCTGGGAGGAAAAAATCTGATAACGGAGATCATAATTTTCATACTGTAATTCATCAACCTTGGAACGAAGTTTGTTATTTTCAAGATGGGCGACGTAATTGTTGGATTCCGCAACAGAAAGTATAGACTCTAAACTCGTGATTTTTGCTTCCGCAACAGAAAGTTTGGATTCTAAACCAGAAATTTTAGACTTAGCAACAGAAAGTTCGGTTTCTAAACGTGAGGTCTCGGCTTGTGCAACAGTGAGTTGACACCTTAAAATTTGACACTGAAGATAATCATTTTGACCATGCTCACTCGAATCCTCGGAAGACTCACTTTAAATCATTCACATGTGATTATAATCAATTAACAAAATGTCACAATGATTATATGAGAAAAGAAAATGTCAGTGAAAGTTTCATTGAGAGAAAACAATTAAACTATAAAAAAAATTTTAAAAACATTAACCTAATTCGAAATCTATGCGTACCAGGGATTCCTTGTTGATGTCGCGTCATAATTTTATGTAATATTATTAAGTGGTGCAATGTTGGGGCAAAAAACCATCAAGATAAATTAAAATCCACCGAGAGCAAACTTATTTATAAAGGAAAAAAATTGATTCAATTTTTCTATGATTGTCTTCGTCTGGTTATCAAGAAAAAAATCACTTGATTTGGAAAATGATAACGACTGCAAGTATTCATAATTTATCTCCAAACAGCTACATTATAGAGCATTATTTGTAATGTAATTCTTTGTATTGCGTGCACTAGAATAAAAGCTTTCCTATTGAACTCGCAAAAGAAGCAAAATGTGGAAATTTCTTCTGCAAGTGTAAATTTAGCTGCAGTGTTGCCCGCATAGGAGCAAATATTAGCTGCAAGCCACAGCGCAGAATTTTAACCGCAGTAAAAATTTTTAACAAGTGGCGAATTTGGATACAGTGGTAAAATTTAGTCACATGGTGGTAAATTTGGATACAGTGATAAATAAAATTTTAGCCACATGGTGGCAAATTTTAGCTGCAAAAAAAAAAGAGGTTTAACTAAATAGTGGCGGATTTGTGAATTTGTGTTATTTCAGATGCCAACAAATTTTCTTATTAATACGTACAGTTGGGTCGCAAATAGCATTTATCATTGATTTTCGAGAACTATCATTTAAATTAGCAGCGCGAATTTGGATTTAACCATTCATTGCCTAATACGGTACAATATCAATTTCCTGATCGCCCGTATTGTATTCAAACCAATGGTTACTATTTTTATTTCACTACCGTTATCCTTGCATAATGATCATGGCCTGTTTATTAAATAAAAGTCTGGAGGAAACTTGCAATAACCTAAAAAAGTAAATTATCAAAGCAGCGAAATGATATGCAATACATTTAAACTAAGTTTGTTTGCTGAATCTACAGTACTATCCCCGTATATCGGACTCTGTCTTCTCAGATTTTATATAAATAGAACGACCCAGATTAAGGCAGATAAAAATATAAATCTTGATGGTTTGGGAGCGATAGTGGCGCAAGTCATGTGACCAGAACTTTGGTAGAGTCGCAAAAAAATTTTTTTTTGATGGAAACCACAAGGATCCTAGTCGTGACGTCATATAAATTATGATTTAACGCCATTATGAAGCTGACGTCATTAAAAAAAGCTTTATGATCAATTTGATTTGCACCCAATTAGATTTTTTTTTGTTGTCGGTCGAGCAAATAATACGATACGTTATTGTGATCTGTTCCCAATAAAGTCTCTCAGAACATCCTACACGGAGGTTTCGAGTTTTTTCCTTATTTGCAAACATTATTAATTTGGATTGTTTATGAATTGTTACACAGCGATTGAGATCCATCGTTGTCATTCGTTGATCGAGAGTTGACATCCAAATTCGGTACAAAGAAGGCGTGACTGTAAAATTATTCAAAAAAAAAAAAAAAAAATCAAATTCTGTACAGAAGTGGAGAGCGGAAATTTATCAATCCCACGAAAACATTATCAAGTTTTATGAATCACATCGTGGTATATTTAAAAATTTTACAGATGCTGTAATTTTTACGTTATAAAATTATTATTAAATTAACATCATTTATTTTTAAGAACCAGATGGATCCTATACATTTGCTTTAGCATATGCGGAGTTGGGAAGTCTACGTGAGTATCTGACGAAAAATCACAAAAAAATCACGTGGGAAGAAAGAATTGACATTGCGAAAGGAATCGCCCACGGGTAAAGTCATTTACATGAAAATAGCATTATATATAGAGATCTGGTAATATCACACTTTCTCGTTGTATTAAATAATTATTACCGTAAACCACTGCATACAATACCCCCCTTGAATAGTACCCTTCGCGATTTTTTTAATAGTAAATTTTCTGGTGGAATAATTAATACTCGGGGTATTGTATATAGTGGTTTACGGTACTAATATCTTAAATAATTTGAATTTTATCTTTTAATACCACATATACTGTATATTTATTTATTTAGCACTCTCGAAATATTGTTTTATCGATATCTGACGGAAAACTGAGAGCGAAGATAATCGACTTCGGAATGTCAA